GCTGAACCCAAAAAGGCGATGTACTGCCTGTATAGTGAAGCACATGGCCGACCTGCGAAAGATCCCATACACGACCCTCGCCTCTATTACAGAGTGCCGCTTAAGAGCAACACGCATGGCAGGCCGACCACTCTCATCAAGTTGAAGGGTGATCTTGTATCGATTGTGGTACAGACAATGCCAATTTGAAATTGAACTTAGTGGGGAAGTCCATATCTGTGAGGTTGGGGAATCACGTAGCTGCCATCAAACCGACACAAGCCAAGAAGAAGCCCAAAGTGCCCTTGACTTGTCAGTGAATTTTCCTCAGGTGTTCAAGCTCCACTGAGGCCCCAAACATGTCTCTCAATTGGCAGCGTCACAGGCTACCCCCATCGCTTGCCTTCGCTTTAGTCATCTCATTGTTCAACCCTGCGTGATCCTCGCCCCCCTTGTTGTTACACAAGGCAAGCTTTGCCTTTCTTAGGGAATGTTGCCTGCCACCCATCGTGTCGACGCTCCCTCCCTTGTGCTTGAATACCATGGCGCGGTGGTGAGCAACGTTGCTGAGTAATGCCAACATGGACAAAAGGATAGACAAGAAGAGGGAGAACGAGTGGCTGGGTTGAGATCTTTGAGACATCCAAAACATGCCATACAAAAGACAGCAACTCCTAAGCGTGTCTCCGCGAGAGACTCTGTTTCATTCTGCCAAGCGACAATGTCTCCCATCGCAAGGTAGGTGAGCACACAGCTCAAGCACAACGAAGAGCAGGAAAACGTACACTCAGGGGTTCGCGTATGTATTGGTATGTATCGGTATGTATTGGGTTACTGGCTGCTCTTAAGAGCAGCTTCAATGGCAAACTTGCCATTTGCAGAATACAACGTTCAATAGGAATTACGCTATGGCGATTTTGGTTGCTTGACATCAAATTGGCGCAGAGGTCCCGACCACACATCAAAGAACACTCAAAGGCGAATCCCAGTGATGATCACAATGGGGGCACAGTCGCAACACCAACGTGCATGCCAAGCAATGAATCCATGCCCATGACATCAGTGATATGCAGCTGCCATTCACAATACAACAGTCAGCGTTGAAGATGAGTCACAACAGTGACGTCACATGGTGCAGTGGCTACGCGCTGCGCTACCCACCAGCTAGCGTAAACCTGATAGAATTTGCAGCATAGCAATAGTGTGGTGAAGGATATTTTCTCAGTTTCGAGAGGTCCTTACATTAATGTACAATGTTGCGTCTGGCACGCGCACCGTCTCTGAAACAAGGGCGCCGCATGAATAACACCGGGCCAGTACATCTGTTGCGCCCAGTCAGGCATGCACCGAATTCAATTAACATTTGAGCCACTGAAGTTTTAGGACCCTTGCTCTCGCAACGTTGGTCTACCGCTCACACACAATCCTAGCCACAATGCATCGCATCCGTGGCCAGCTCCGCGCCTGCTTGCTGTGATGACGTCCGCCGCCCAACCCAACAAGGCGATCACGCAACCCACTTTGCAGCTTGGTGGCCGGCAGACGAACGCATCAGACGGCCAGCGGAGATTCTGAAAGGACATCAATCGTTTGCAATCGTTGAGGTGGACTCTCGCGTCCACATTGGGTGGTAATGCAGTGCCTCAAACTTGGACAAATGCTTCAACTGCATTCTCTTTACTGGCGGTGCCAACACCTTCCGTTATTAGCGCCATCTCCTAAATTTCGTCACCCAGTGCTTACATCCTCTGCATGCGCATAATGCAATAAAATATGGCTCTCCCAATGGTACACCCAGCACGTCTTCCATACACCCCAACGGCTCCCACACAGCCAGGTGGCTTCCGTGCTGTCATATATTTACTAAATGCTACTAGCAGCATTTTAGCACTTCAACAGCTTCCATTGGTTTTCAAGTATTGTCCATTCCTCACGGTGCTGAACCATCTTCGCCCATTTTTTCCACGCTCCGCACCGCCCTTGGAGGGTGCACAGGGGCAGGAACACAAGCCAAGTGGCCTTAAGGACGTCTCCCTCCGGTCTGGGCACCTTCAAGCCGCCATACCCGTCCGACTGGCGAGCATCAAATGCTCGTCTGAATGCAGTCCATTAATGCCATGAATGCGACGCCGGCCGCAGAATTTGTATGTTGGCATCGCATGACGGCATTAACGGAATGCAATGGAGAGAATGTACCGAATTACCCGGTATTAGCGGGCACCCCCTATGAGTATCCACCTTTGGGTGTTCGAGACACATTAGTGTCCATGACACAGTGTCAGTATCCCCCCCAAAAGAACTCAACAGAAACGAGCTCGAGAGGCTGAACCGCTGGATTCGCCTCGGGGGTGGCAACTAGAATGCAAGTATTTGATTGGACAGCACTCTTTTTGCACGACTTGAGCGTGCAACAACTGTCAAAAACTGGTCATCCTGTAGTGCGGTGCATATGATGGTTGCATGAGCGGGTAATATAATGGAGAAAAAGCTTGTTTGCTTGTCGAGCAACTGCAGGCCATGAGTCCATGGCACGGTTGCGGGCCTGGAGTTGTCAGCAGACCTGGCGGCATTGCTTGTTCTGGTAACAATACTCACCGCGGCGCTCGCCTCCGCGGCAATCACACTGGATGCCAGGGCACCCGGCTGCACAGCAAAAACTATTGTAAAGTGCATCCGACCACTTCAACTACGCACAGAGTGGCCTGTCAGCCACATACGCACGTGCCTGCCATGCCCTATGGGGTCTGCTTCGACATTTTTGACCGTTGGGGGAACACGATGGTGGTTGCTGGCAGCGCCAGGCCGCGCCTGGTGACATGCAGGCCACGTGCCTAACCGCCACCCCTGGCGCTTCTCACAACTAGTTTCCACACACTCTTCGCCAAGGTCGCCCAAGCGTGCCTTCAGCTTGAATGGAGGTTCGCCAGCCGGACCACATGGCAGGGCCGCCCTCCACCCAAACATGCTGGCATCTCCCGTCGAAATTGTTGATGATCCGGGAAGGTGTTGATGAAGATTTTGGCGGCTTTGTATCAGATATGGATGTGGACAGCGATTGATTGTAAATGCATTTCTGCCTTTCTGTTTGCCAAACAGAAAACCTTCCAACGGTTTTTTGCGGTGTAAATAGCATTGTCGCTGACAATATGAAGTTTTTAATACTGTGGTGTCTGTGATTTTGTAACTTTGATTTGGTGATGTCGATACCCATGCACTACACTTTGCATTATTTTCAAACATATTTTTTGGGCATTTCACTGCCTATTTTAAAGTTCATTCGTGTAATCTTTATATCAAGGGTTTAAAGCACGGTAGTACCCATGACCCACAATTAGTATCCACCATTCATTTTGAGGGTCCACTACACTCCTACCAATACCGGGTAAATATGGGTAGTTGAATAGGTTTTAGGTCTGTGTACGAAGGGAGATTTTTACCGCGACCAACTATTTACATTTAGGCCCAATGTTTGTTGGCGGGCCGTAGGGTTTCTGACGCTTGCCGAGCTTGAGAATGCTCGCAATTTTAGTGCACTAATAGTGTGTGACCATCGCCAGATTTCTGTGATGCAGGATCGGGTCGGGCAGCGACTCCACAGGCAGGGCGCATCTTGCATCAACCCCTTGAGCCAAGCTGAATGTGCGCACAAAGTACTGCTCGTGTCCACCATGGTGAACTTTGCCTTAGTACTCTGAGCCACATGGGTTGGCAAAAGCGTGCCACTGGATTTTCGCTTTCTGTCCCACTCGCCCCAACCAATGAAAAACTTTCGCTTAAAATTAAAATTGTCTGAGAGGCAAATGACAAAGGTGGCTTCACTGCTTGCTTCGGATGCATCTGTCTTTTGAGTTTGTGTGTGTGGTGAATATGAACGTAATTGCAGCCTTTTTTCCTTAATTACAAATGTATTGCACCATGACACGAATAGAAGAGCTCCCCCACAAATCGTCAAGCACAACTGGCCCCTTTTCTAGCAAGGACCGATATAGTGTCCCAAACAATGGTAGAGGAGGAAAAACATCAGTGTCCGATGAACGTTCGATGTCCCTGTGGCGGAGTTCTGAGCATCAACAGAGAAAATGTCACGAAGGAAAGAAAGGGTTCGTCAGGCAATGTCACAGATGTCCCAAATGTCCCAGAATGTACCGAATTGTCCCAATATATCCCATGTTTGTTGCCCTGTTTGACTTCCAGCATTGATCATAACCCTGTCAATATGAATCAAATCCTCTCCCAATGGTGAGTGCATGCCCGTCGAATAGGCCTTCAAAATCGGGCCAAGAAAGGTCATCCAGAACGTTAAGCCCAATGCTAATCACCATGGCCATGTGTCAATTGACGGATCTCACAGGTCAGCTGCTGCGGCAAAGAGTGATTGCATCCTCAAATGAAAGAACAAACCCAGTGCAAGGGTCTTGTTTACTGGCGGTACCACAACTAGTTTGTGCGGTGCACGTGCGTGTGCCTCCTGGGCTTCCCAATCCTACACCCAGCTCATGCGGGCAATTGCGTCATGGGTGGTGAGTGACTACGCCCTCTTGAGTGACTCCCCCACGCGGCCCCTCCATTTTCCGCACAGCACCCCGCCTGCTGCCTGCACCCCCTGCCCCGAGCCCTTTCGCCTCCCACCGCCCCTGCTCAGACCCGCCGGGCCACAAAGCCGGTGCAGCAGGACCCGGCCACACCCTCTCGCCACAGACAACCCCTCCCCATTTCACAGGACGCCGCTTGCCCGCTGGGAGCCGCGCATGGATCTGTTGACCTCGGGTCGGTCGCCGGTCATCAGCGTCCCGTCGGCTCCGGGATGGGATGGCGTCCGATTCATCCGCAAACACACCAGGTCCAGCCTGGATCTCTGCCGGCCAGGTGCCCCCAGGGTGCCCTCTGCCGGGCTTGGTCGTGATTTCGGGGCCCTGCGCTCGCGGCTGCCCCTGCCGCGGAGGGGAATCGCATTGAGGCCGAGGCAGGTGGCCGTCCGGGCGCTGTTCGAAAAATTCACCGAGCAGGCCATCAAGGTCGCGATGCTGGCCGACAAGGAGGCCAGGGGCATGGGGGCCGCCGAGGTGAGTGGGAGCTGGCTGACTGATTCCCCTGGGACGGCCTTGGCTGTGGTGGATCTCGCGTGTTTGCCTCCTGTGATCGACGGTGCCGCGATCGAGGCGGCCACCGGAAGGCGGTAGGGCGCCGTGCAAGGGCTCGAGGAGAAACATTCCGACGATTCTCGCCCTGGCCGTGGGGCCAGTGGGGCGTGCCGGTGGTCGGGCTGTATTGCTGGTGGTAGACATCAAAACAGCCGTCTGCGAACGTCGTGCGGCGCTCTTGCACGTCTTGTGACCCCGCCCATGCCTGTTTCCGCATGCCGTTGAGTCAGACACCCGCAGCGATCCAAATGACGATGACGACTCTCCTCATGGTCCGCGTGGCAACGCCCGCGTCGAGACGTCCCCTGCAGCACTCGGATCCGCCACCTCGAGCGACGGGCCACTCCCCGCCCACCCTGATCGATTCTCGTGCTGCGCATCGCAGACGGGCTCGGAGCACATCTTCCTGGGACTCGTGGCCGTCGACTGCTTCTCCAGCGTGGGCGTGACCCTGCAAAAGGCCAGGAACGCCGTGGAGCTCGTGTGCGGGACGCCCCACAAGCGCGCTGCCACAGAGAAGATGGACTGGGGCGAGGACGCGAAGGGCGTGTACCAGGCCGCCCTCGCCGTGAGTGGGCCTCTGGGACAGATTGGTTTGGGATGTGGCTGCGGGAATCCGGTGTCGATTTGCGCTCGGCAGGACGTGACCTGCGGGCCCGCGTCCCAAGAGGAGGCCGCCCACTGCATGCTTGTGCATGCTGGCCCCAACGCAAATTGTCTTTTTATCTTGTGTGGGTGTTGAATCTGTCTGACAAGGCTTGTTTCTTGTTGGCAAGTGCAGTTCCAGTGAACTGCTAGGCAAAGGGACTGCCGTTTGTCTGCAGGGAATTTTTCTCAAGATTCTTTTGCTGCGACTGCATGCAGGAGTCACAGGCGATGGGGCATTCCTATGTACGACAGGAGCACATTCTTTTGGGTCTCTTGTCTCATGGGAGTGCGAACTGGAAGAAAATCTCAAAAAGGTGCAGAACAGGGCACAGTTCATCATTGACTGCACGTGTGAAGGCGCAGCATGGCCTTTCACCTGCTAGCGGAGCTCAGCAATGCAACAGACACTAATGGGAAAGCAACGTGGTGGTGCTGCAAAGTTTGGTGCTTTTGCTTCTCAGCACTGTCCTTTTTGGCAGAAAGGCAGGCGTGTCATCCAGTCCTGGCCATTTTGGCTGTTGCTGGGCCAGCAGTTTTGAATTTGCCTGCTGGTCATGTTGCGCCTGTCAGGATGCGGCTGCGTAGTGAGCGGTTGCGGGAAGAGGCTATCCTGCAGTTGGGAGGAGCTCAAGACCTGGAGGCACCAAAATCAAGGGTTATGTCTGCCATGGTGAGCGCCTTCGCCTTCATGGCAACACGTTTCTGAATCCCCAGTGCTTTTCAGTCCAACATCATTCAACACAGAGCACTCAGACTGGAACGAAAGTCCGGTTGGATCAGATATGTCGGAAGATGTCAGTGTCCCACATTTTTTGGCTGTCAGCTGTCAGTTGCATACTTTTTACCTGTGAGTCCTGTGGTGTCGACAATGCAAGGAGTCCAGATTCAAGGAAGCAGTGTCCATGCAGCTGTGTCCATATGTATGATGCTGTCCTTGTATCCATCGCTTGATTGTTTTGACAAACAGCGTATCCTGATGGCTTAAGTTTTGTTGCTGTGTTGGAGAGCCAGTAGAAATTGCTGCTAGCGTTGGTTAACTGGTGTGACTTCTATGTTATTGTTCATGGCTAGGCAGGTGACGTGAAAGGTGGCTCAAAAGGAGTTACGACACAGGGTGTGGATGAACTTTGCAGGGATTTGTGCCAATATGCACGAGAGGGGAAAATTGACCCAGTAAGTGCTGTGCAGGAGTGGTGCTGAAACTCATCTTCAGACTTTAGCATGTCAATGGTGCAGTCATTTCTTGAGGCATGCTCTGTATGTGCAGTGCTAAAAGGACATACAGGATAGTGTGCCCTGCCTATCTTTACTGGGGACTGCATGTGATATGCTTCTGTTAAACACTGTGTGCAACGTGTGCACATTGATGTGCATTATATTTGGTTGAAAGTCAGATTGGGGCAGGGGAATCGGTCTGGTCAGCCTCATGCAGCTCTGTGTACACGTGGGATTCTTTATGCAATGGCACCTTAGCCCACCTGTTGATTGAGGGTGGGAGTTGTGTTGCACTGATGGGACAGACACACACCAGTATGCTGTCACAATTATATTGATCTCCAGCTGCACACATTTTTGGGGATCAATGCATTCCTCAAAGAACATACCCCTGCCTGGCTGATGGCCTCAATGCGTGTTTTGCACTGCATGTTGAAACCGACATCGGCACAGCCAAGAATCTTTGTTTTGGACCAAATGGAGGGGCTTGTTGCTGACGACCCAAGTATTTGATGGCAGCTTTAGCTTTCACGGGTGTTTTGGGGCTGTTGGATGGGGATGCTGTTTTTTATATTGAAAGGTTCTAGGCAGTGCTTTAGTTTGGTTTGGTGCACTGCAACATCTTCTGGTCTCATGCAAAGGAAGTCCTTGTTGTAGAAACAAAGGTTGTCCCAGTGGAACTGTGAGAATTTCCTGATCTTCCTTCTTGACAGCTGGTGGTTGGTTAGGATATCAGATTGGTTGTGTTATTGGGATGCAAGGTTGAAGCACAACTCGGGTGCTGTTCTGAGCTGAGTATAAATGCTGCTGTTGCATTGCAGGTTGTTGGGCGAAATAAAGAAATCAACCATGTGATTCAAATTCTAGGCCGTCGGCAGAAGTGCAATCCAATTCTCCTTGGTGAGCATCCTGCGCATGCCAGAGGGCTTGCAGTAAAGCATGTGTGGTTTGACGATGGATTTGGCCTTTGTATTCCTGGACTCAGCTCCATGCCCTATCTACTGTTCGTGCAGGAAGATGTCAGTTCAGGGACTTTCTATCTTGGGCAAAGATGGCTCTTGCCCTTGACTTTCAGGGTGGAGTGCAACTCATGAAGTAAAGCAACCATGAGACGCAACAGGGAGGTTGTGTACCCCTGCTGTGCTGTCCTGTGCTGGCATACCTTTTAGCTAACCTGGTGCACTGCTCACTATTTAATGGACAGTTGGCCTCTTGTTCTGCTCTGCATTTCAATACAGGCACAATGTGCACCAGCACAAACTTGGCTGTCAGAGCTGCATTTGCTGTTGTCCCTTGCGCTATCTGCATGCACAAATGCACAAATTTGAGCCATGAAAAGTGAGTGTTATGCGTTGAAGCAACATTTGAGTGTGCAACTGCTCAATCAGGGGAGGCTGGTGTTGGGAAGACAGCCATCGCAGAGGGATTGGCAAGGGTCATCGAGCAGGGTGCAACCCCACAGGGGAGTCCCCTTCCAGACTTTTTGAAGGGCAAGCGCCTGATGCAGCTGGATGTGCCTTTGCTGCTGGCCGGCGCCAAAGAAAGGGGGGAGCTGGAGACACGTGTCACTCGCATCCTGAGTGAAGTCAAGGAAGCGGGCAACATAATTCTCATGTGAGAATTCATTCTTTTGCGGCCCATTGGCAGGCTAAGTTACAACTAAGCTGCTCCTGCTGTCAACTGCCTGCTGAATACAATCTAGACAGAATTGATCCAAACTCATTTAGTGGCTGTGGCTCCCAGGATCGATGAGATCCACACGCTGGTGGGCAGCGGCTCTGTGGGCCGAGGGGGACTGGGCATGGGAGGCCTGGACATCGCCAACTTGTTTAAACCTGCACTGGCCCGCGGCGAGCTGCGCTGCATTGGAGCCACCACCCTTGCAGAGCACAGGGCTTACATTGAGAAGGACAAGGCGCTGGCCAGACGCTTTCAGCCTGTCATTGTGGATGAGCCATCTGAGGTCCATGCCCTGTCCATCTTGCTGGGCCTGCAGGCCAGCTACGAGCAGCACCACCGCTGCATCTACACGGAGGAGGCCCTGCGGGCAGCTGTGGTGCTGTCAGAGCGGTACATTGCCGACAGGCTGCTGCCAGACAAGGTCAGTTCTGTTTCGCCTCTTTGTTTTCTTGGACTCAGACCTTTGGTGCTTGCCGTTGAATGTTCACCCTGTTGGATCTAATGCACAGCAGCAGGAGCCCCAGAACTATGAAGCAGGTGCACCAAAGTTGAAATGCAAGGCGATCGCAGTGTAGCTGTGAACGCTTACCTGGCAAGTTCAGATCCTTGTGCTCCTGGTTGGTCGTTGCAGAGGCCAATCTATTTGGCAGTGTTTCTGATTAATGGATTGTGGCACGCTTCCTCACATGCAGCTATACAACATCTGAGTTGTCTGATCTGTTTCCAAGCTCTTTTGCTGAAACGCATGCTGCAAAGCCTTTTGGCACTGTGTTGATGCGACAGTTGCTGGAGATTTGGACGTACAGCAACTGGGCTGCAATGGTGGCTGAATCCCACCACAGGCAGCCTTCTGCTCAGCAGCGATGCAGAGTGGTCATGAATGAAAGATCTGACAGTCCTGTGCAGTGACAGGCTGCGCTGAGTTGCCATCGCCAGTATCCATTCACAGAGTATGGTGGTTTGCAAATTTTGTGTGTGGGGACTTGTGGACCTGTCTGGGCCTCCTGTTGGTTGTGAACCCACCTCGCTGGCGGTTGGTGGCTGCAGGATTGGCTCTTATCATTTTGTGTTGGTGCTTCCCTCAGGCGATCGATGTCCTTGATGAAGCTGGGAGCCGTAGCCGAATTGATGGCCACCTCGGCAGAAAGCAACAGCAGGGGCAATGCGATCCTGAAGCTGCAGCAGGTGCCTGCGAAGAACTGCGACAGGTAGTGGATTTGTGCATGCGTGCATGCCATGTTGCCAAGCATAGCACCATCGCAGTTGAAAGTGCAGAAAAGGAAGTTTTTGCTTCTCCCATTTGCCAAGACCTAACGAAGCAGTGCTGTTGTGCTTAGGAACTTGCACTTGCATATACGCCATGTATTGGTCGAAACGTCCAGTAGCACTGTACGCGTGACGTTGCAGAATCGAGATCCAACTCTGAGAGTTTAAAGCGACTACCTAAATAGACTCTTTGCAGCTCATCGAGGAGTCAGTTCTGCCATCGTAGTGGCTGGATGTTTGTCCCACGGGGTATGCGATGATCTGAAGTTTATGGTATCGACCCCAGGTCATCGAAGCCAAAGATGTGGCTGCAACAGAAGGTCATTTTGAGGAGGCTGCGTTGCTCCGGTCCAGAGAGCTGGAATTGAAGACGAAGCTGTCTGGGCCAGCCGCTGAAGGTGCTCTGCTGCCAGTGGTGGACATCGCAGAAATAGAAGCAGTGGTGGCAAAGTGGACTGGGATTCCAGTGGAAAAAGTCACACAAGATGAGGCCCAGAAGCTGCTCAAACTGGTGAGGGACACAATGATTCTTGAATTCAAGGAACCTTGAAGGCAACATGAAGTGAAACACTGGTGATGCCACTTGTCTGGTCTGTACATTGGTGGTTGGACAGTGATGGTTTCACTGACAGTCAACTAGGATCTCATGCTGCTGTTCATGGAAACTCCAGTGGTCCTTCCTGCATGGGAATTTGCAATGGGCAAAAAGTAATGGAGCTTGTTGTTTACTCAAAGGAAGCACTAGAGAAATGTCCTGACGTGCAACAAACAGCGCAGGCCAAACTTGTGTGGAGTGAATTCTGTGTTGTGCATGTTGGTGCATTTGGGGACAGGGATCTAGTTTTCTTTGTGAGATTATGTCACAATTGCTAGGTTCGGTTGTAGGTACCTACACAAGCACTGGTTGACAACCAAGACTGGCAAATAGTGGCAGCATTAGCCACCGGAGAGGAGCGTTTTGGGGAAATGAGTAGTGCTCCTTGTGGAATTTTACCTTGTGATAGCCACCGTTGTGTATTGTGTGCATTGCTCATGTGACGCACGTTCTTGTTGTTATATGTATTTCAGCCATTAGTCTCGAGTGTCCTTTGTTAGGCTGTCACCCCTGTGCCTAGAACTGGCACCTTGTGGTGGTTTTATGTATTGCGGGGCGACCAAGGAACTGCCATCACGTTTGTTTCATCTCCCAATTAACATATGAAATGAATATTTGAAAAGGATGCAACAACAGCATCTGGCCTTGGCAAACACACTGCGAGCAAATGCCTCAGTAGCCTTTATTCCTTGCAGTAGGATCCTTTCGCTGCAAAGAGTTCATTTTGATCTTGTCATCGTAATCCATTGGTTTTTTGGGGGGGTGAGCAGGAGGTGGCGTTGCATGCCAATGTGATTGGGCAGCACAATGCTGTGTCAGCGGTGACACGCGCGATGAGGCGGGCACACACTGGTGTGCGCGACCCCAAGCGCCCCATTGCATCCTTCTTGTTCTGCGGCCCCACTGGCGTTGGAAAAACAGAGCTAACCAAGGTGGGTAGATTAGCGCACATCAGCATTGATGAATTAATAATCGTAAGACACAACAGCAGTTAAGCACAAATGACGATGTGAAGTGCTGCGCATGTCTTCAAGTGTTTGTTCTTATGGCAACTGTATTGCTTGTCTGTCAATATGATAGCAAACAGTAAGCCCTTGTCCCCAGGATGAGCCCAGTGTATTAAATTGGCATTTGTTGCAATATTCTTTGAATTGCCAACGTTTTATTTTCTGGTGCGCTATGTTTGCCAAGCGGGCCTTTGCCCACACTCCATCATGCCTTTCTGACACGTCTTTCTTGACAATGTCACGTCACCTTTTGTTGCATGGGCAGCTTCTCCATACTCCCAGTCTGGGTTGTATCCATCCTTCTTACTCAGAAAATGGAATTGAAACACTGATAAATGTGACAGTTGAACTGACGCTGAAAGCTGACACAACACCAAAGCTGTCATGACTCAAATACTGACACAAACACTAATCCTGTTAGTAATGTGGCTGCTTACTTGATTGCGATGTGCTGCTAATTTGATTCTGTTGTGCGGCAATCCACCCTCGATGATGTTTTCAATGCACTGTCACAACATTGCCGGCTGAACATGAACATTACCAATTTGGCTCAGCACTGTATTGCAAAATGTGCAGGTCATGGCCGACCAGTGCTTTGGCTCTCGTGACTCCATTGTGCGCCTGGACATGAGCGAATACATGGAGCGCCACACCGTGAGCAAGCTCATCGGTGCACCACCAGGCTATGCCGGTTTTGGCGATGGTGGAAAGCTGACCGAACCTGTGCGACGCCGGCCCTTCAGCATCGTCCTGCTGGACGAGATTGAGAAGGCGCACCCTGACGTCTTCAACATCCTGTTGCAGGTTCTGGAGGATGGCCAGTTGACCGACTCGCAGGTAATTTGAACTGGTCATTCAATCAAACTCGTGCCAACAGGTCCAACCCGTTGATTCAATTGTCCAAACTCCGATACGTTGCCCTTAAGGCAATACCTTTGCAATGTGTGGGCTATTTCTGGCTTGCGTATGTGTTTCAACAGAGTGAGGCGTATATGTGCTTTGATCATGCTTGTACCATGTTGTCAAAATAGTGTCATGGCGAAGTGCTTGTTATATTTCACTATGGCTGGGCATCTAACTCCTATTTTGGCCCCTGCCTGCAGGGAAAGACTGTGTCCTTCAAAAACACGGTGATTGTGATGACGTCCAACGTGGGGTCTAATGCGATCGCCAAGGGTACAGGAAGCATTGGCTTCCAGTTGGATGTGGACGCTGACAGAAAGGACTACAAGAGGATCAGCAACCTCGTCAAGGAAGAGCTCAAGGTGTACTTCCGGCCAGAGATGCTCAACAGGGTGGACGAGGTGAGCCTGTGCATTGACACCCCATCAGCCTACTGTTTTTTACTGAATGCAAAATGGAAGTGGTATAATAGACAAGAGCATAGAAGAATGGACGCTTACAGTAGCTCTTGGTACGATGACCTCCAGCTTCGGAGTTGTCTTGTTAGCAGAAAGGGAAACAGTGGTCAGCATGCTCTGCTTTTTCCTCTCCGCCCTCCGCCTTCCTTCTTCGCGTTCAGCAGGCCTTTGGAAATGCCGCATTCCGTTGAGAATATTGTGGGTCAGGGTGCACAGCAAGGAATGCTGCTGTGATGCTGCACTCCTTCGCTGGCTTTGCGCACAAGTGCAGTGGGCTGTCTGCGGAACTGCAAGCTCCCTTTCGGTGGTTAGGTTCTGGGCTTGTGCACGTCAACCAAAGAGAACTCACATCGTTGAGCAAAACAGCGAAGACTGCAATGTCAGCACAATGTACAACACTGCTAACTGGATGTCTCCCACGCTTTCCAGATCGTCGTGTTCGAGCCCCTTAATATGTCCGACCTAGATAAGGTCGCCGACATCCTGCTGGACGAGACGTCCGCGCGCCTGGCCCCCAGGGGCGTCTCCTTCCGCCTCACGCCGGCCCTCAGGCGCGAGGTGCTGCGCCATGGCCACGATCCGGCCTACGGCGCCCGCCCGCTGCGGCGCAGCATCGCGCTGCTGGTAGAGGACCCGCTGGCCGACGCCATCCTGCGGGGGCGGCTTGCGGAGGGCGACGCGGCGGTGCTGGACATGGAAGGGGAGGGCGGCCGCGTGGTGGTGAGGGCGCCGGGGGAGGCGACGAGCGAGGCGTGTGAGGGGCCGATTAGCGACGTGGTGGCCTATCCCGGCATCGTCGTGGAGGCGACGGTGGAAGTTTGAGGCCACCGTGAAAATGTGAGACGGCCGCAGAAGTGTGAGACGGCCGTGGATGTGTGAGAGGGTCGGGGCAGTGTGAAACCCACACTTGTCCTGGCCAGTGCGTGGATCTCTGCGCCCCGTGTGGATCACAGCGGTGCAATGGCACATTTGTCTTTGGAAGGCGATTTTACATGAAAGCTTTAGCAGGGGGCAAAGTGATAGGCAGGTGAGG